TCCTATTATGTTCATATTTTCACTTAAGTACATTTCCTCTACTTCTCATTATTATAATAGAATATAGTTTGTATCTTTGAGTATTATTTTAATATCATTTTATTTTATCATTCTAGTATTGTTTTAGTTTTAGGTTTTTGTTTATATAGCTTATTTTTGTTATTGTTTATATAGCTTATTGTATTTGTATTTCGATTTAATTTTTTTAGTACATCGTTAAACTTGCTGGAAATGAGAAACATTTTCTTAGCAACTAGCTATATAGTTACATTTTTTATAGTTTCATATTTTATATTTATATTAAAAATATAAAATTATATATTTTTTTCAGTTAACATTTGTCTTATTTCAAAGAACTATTTATTGTTTAATAGTTTGTAATATGTATTTAATTACCATATTTGTAAGAGGTAATTCTTGTTTTCCTGCAGAATTTTGGACTTCTGTACGGTTTCCTGCGTAGAGTCACAGCTCCTCGGGTCAAACAGCACTAAACCGCAACCGTCTCTTCATGCACCTGCAATACGTGGGGCCGCCGGGGTCTCACAGCAGAGCTAAGAGTGCATTTGCTTTCTTTATTTCACTAGTTGGTTTGATTTAGTTTTCGGAGAATGCACGTTGATTTCCATGCCAAGAGTTTCATCCACTACATCTCCGCTAGCGTTTCAAGTCTTCCTTGTCTCAGCGTTGCCTCAAGTCCTGCGTCCTTAAAAATACAATCCGTAATTGCTCAAACAGAGTTGATTTCAATTTAAATCACAAACAAATCAGTTCCCATGTAATGTCGTTATGAAATGTGCCCTTCTTGCGTCCATTACGGATTGTACTTCTAAGCAGTGTTTCCTGAAAACCTTTTTCCTCGTGTGGTTAATCTTCACTGGCAGCTACTACAAAGTGGGCCAAAATCATTGCTGGCCGAGTTGAAGTCTGTCAATGCTCCTCAATCTTCGTCATGCGCTTGCGCGAGTCTCAACTCAAACTGCTGATTCTCTTTGGAGCGAGTATTATATATATATATATATATATATATACACACATATACATATATATATATAT